CAAACACCTCAATGGTTGCTTTGCTTTGAAAAATTCAAAAGCACAGTTTTTTCACACATGGGAGGAAATGTGATTCCAGTCACAATACTTCAGAAAGTTTCTTAAGTGGGCTTTACTTTTTTTTAAACTTTCATTTCATTATTAATGAAAATTTCAGTTTATAGGTTTGGTCTTATGCTTTGAAAAGTTATGCCATTCTTCCAGTCTTTGTTTTCGCTGTAAATCAAAGTTGATTTAGTTGATTTAAGACAGATTTGCTTCTAATTAGATGCAAACCAATTATAAAACGTGTCAATTGATGAATTGACTTGCTTGGTGGTACTTTTTAATATTCCTTCTTCCATCACAAAATATAACAACATTATGAGCTTTACTGAATGTTGTACTTTGTTGTACTTTGTCCCAAATTAGTTCTTAAGTGAACTGCATTGTAAAGATAACTTGGTTTCTCACCAGATAACTGTTGTTAAACATCGCTTGTCACGTAAAAATTGATCTAGTTTGCCTGCCTAAAACATAAAGGAAACAAGATGTGTAAGATGTTTGTAACAGTGCTTCATTTCATTTTATTTTATTTTGTTAACCGATCGCCCTCTGCTGGTTTGTATCTGGTATTTGCAAGCAACCAGTGTAAATCGATCTGATAGTCCTCATTCTGTGGGTAAATATCAAATTGCCAGGTGTGACCTGAGAACTGTTTAGTAGACAAAGACCCAGATCTCTTTTTAATTTAGTTGAGGATACTGATTCCCATAATTGAGGGATGTTCACTTAGTAAGTGAACAAACCTAAAAAAATGTGGAATGAGAGATCATTTGGCTCACCTAAAACATTCCAATATAATCCAGACATAAGTATTAATTCTGCAGACAGATTCTTCAGTCTCAACACTTTGAATTCAGACGTCCAGCTGTACTACTATGTTTCTTTCATATTCAATGATACATCTATCTGCTTTTGTTTGTCCCATCCTTACATTTGGTATAGCACCTTTCACGTCAGGAGAATAATTCAAAGCACTTCACGGAATTTTCTGTTGAGTGAAGTGACTGTGTACTTCAGGAGCAAATATAGGACATCCCTTTCAAAATTGTTAGTTTTATGTCTCTAAGTTGCAACTTATTTAACACAACTAAAACTCTTCATTACTCCCTTTACCAAATTTTCAAATTCTAATTCAGTTACTCTGTTTTACGAAAATAGAACAACTAACATAAAAATATAATAATAATCCTTGCATTTGATATCCATTATATGCATAGCTTTAATGCCTTTAAACCTGTATCTCTCCTCAGCACAGAGTTGTCTCACAAAAACAATTTACATTTATACGCTACTCATTATGTAATGTGGATCACTTATTCTTTTCAATAAAGTCTCCCAATCCATTTAACCAATGTAAAATTGTACTCTTTTCCACTGGATCCAAATTAAAATCAAAATATTTACAAATAAGTTGTCACTTTCAAATCTTTAAAAATAAAATCCCTTTCAAATGATAAGTAATTGGTTCATGTTTCTTATCAGAGATGTATCATTATTAAATCTCCCTGAAAATAATAATTGTTGCATTTGTTATAGCGCTTTTTTTTTACAACAGAAGGGTGTCTCAACGTGCTTTCCTGATTTACTGTAAAGTGTAGTGACATATGATGTAGGTATGTAGACAAATGTGGCAGCCAATTTGTGCACATCAGTGTCTCATAAACAGCTATGAAGTGAGTGATCAACTTAATAAGATTCTGTAGCTTCAAATATTTTTCATAGCATAACCACCCTCTCTTGTTTGTTTAAAGAAACCAGCTTGACTTTCCCCGGGCTATTCTGGCAACCATTCCATTTGTTATCTTTCCAAAATATCTGGATCTAATATATCTCTAGACATTTCCAGTTAAACGCCCTAAAGTGTTGCTTTCATTATTAATAATCATATTCTCCGGGTCAAATGAATTTATACCAGGACCACTTTGCAATTATGTTTCTGTTCATTTCCACATGGATCTCTTGTGTGCACCATTAGTTAATTAATATTATACATTACTTCATATTTGTCAAAATACTTCATATTTGTCGGCCTACTCCACGTCCCCCGACCCACCCGCCCCACCATTGGCGGGAGAGCCTTCAACTACTCTGCCCCCAACCTCTAGAACTCCATATCCCAATCACTCCGCCTCGCTCCCTCCTTAGCCTCCTCCAAGTCCCACCTCAAAACCCTCCTCTTCGACCATGCCATCAGTTAACCGCCTTCCCCTCTCCCTTCCTTTCTCCCTCCTGACCCCAGCTGGGGTCTGAAATGCTGTACACTGTCCAGCATCTTGGGATGTCCTACCGAGGTGAAAGGGGCTATACAAATGTAATCTTGTTGTTGTTGTTGTATTACGCACCATTGTTGAATAGTTGAATTAGGCATCAAGAATCTTATCCCACTATCATCCTCTGGGAAACAATTTACTTCACTTTATCTCCACAATGCGTATCACACCTCTCAATTCATCAGTGTAGGTATCACTATGCATCAATACCAAAGGGACCATTGCCCTTTCCATTAAGATACTATTGGCAAGAAGGATCGAAATACACTGATTGTCCAACGCCTTGGGATGTCCACGACTCTAGCAATTACACAGCATATATCAAAAATAAAAGCTGCCTCGGAGTGAATTCTGTGGTGCAGCCTTATTCTGGGGTTCGGTTATGAAGACATGTAATTACACCGCACTCTCCCTGAGCAAAACTGTTTCCCTTCACCTCAGTCGCATGACCCGCTCACAGCAGTGTCCCACAAACAGTTGTGGATCGAGTGACTTCCCACCCAACTACACACAGCTTCCCGCAGTAAAAGAGTTTCTCGGGATCGGAAACTTTTGTCTTGTCCAGCGCCTTGGGACGTCCTCCCGATGCAAAAGGCGCTATGCAAACGTAATTTTGTTGTTGTTGTTGTTGTTGTTGTGCATTGGGAACCACCTGCCTGTCAGCTCTGCCAGCATCGATTACCCTCTCTCTCACACTCAGGACAGTCAGGCAGTCAACTGGAAGAGCGTGTGAGTGGAACACACCTTTTACAGTGGTGCCATTTACTGAGCGCAGTTCAATAAATATATATAATAATAATAATAATCCTTGCATTTGATATAGCGCTTTTCACGTCAGGAGGACGTCCCAAAGCGCTTCACAGAACGCACTGTAAAGTGAATTGACTGTATATTTGTGGGCGAACGCGGCAGCCAATTGCGCACAGCAATGTCCCACAAACAGTCGTAGATTGAAAACGACCAATTTATTATTGTTTTTGGTTTTGGAGGGATTATTATTATTATTAGGTGTGTGGAGTAAGGAAACTTGCCCGAGGTTTCGCCCTCTGCCTGGAATTGAGCTCAGGTCTCTCACTCGCAAAGCGAGTGCTCTTAACCACTGAGCCACAGGACTCCACATCATTTGAAAGCGCTCTGAACCGAGTGTCACGGTGCAGTCTGTGGTGTGTGTGTGTGTGGGGTTCGGGCTCTGAATCCCAGCGATGCACATATAAGGCGCAGCTCAGCTTCCTCCTCCCGTCAGACACACAGCCTCTGAGCTCTCACACACTCTCTCTCGATGAGTTCCTGCGGTTTGGAGCCGTCACTGTTTCCCTCTTATTTCCGAGGGCGACTGCCAGCCACAGCCCCGCCAGTGCTCACAGGCTCGAGTCCAGCACCACCCTGTGAGAGGGGGGAGTGGGGGAGTGTGTGAGGGGGGGAGTGTGTGGGGGGGAGAGTGGGGGAGTGTGTGTGAGGGGGGGAGTGGGGGAGTGTGTGTGAGGGGGAGAGTGGGGGAGTGTGTGTGAGGGGGGGAGTGGGGGAGTGTGTGAGGGGGGAGTGGGGGAGTGTGTGTGAGGGGGGGAGTGGGGGAGTGTGTGAGTGGGGTAGTGTGTGAGGGGGGAGTGGGGGAGTGTGTGAGGGGGAGAGTGGGGGAGTGTGTGTGAGGGGGGGAGTGGGGGAGTGTGTGAGTGGGGTAGTGTGTGAGGGGGGGAGTGGGGGAGTGTGTGAGGGGGAGAGTGGGGGAGTGTGTGAGGGGGGGAGTGGGGGAGTGTGTGAGGGGGAGAGTGGGGGGGTTGGAAGGTGCTTTTTTTTCCCTGTGCACACACACCAGTCTCGCCACTTTCCTGCAATCCTCAGTGTCTGAAACGTGCACTATCTGGTCCCGGGCAATGGGAATATCCAAAATAATCCCCGAGTACGACAATGCCGACACGTCCGCACTTCGCTCTCTGGAGGAACCCCCAATAGACACACAACAACGTCAGGTTTCACTGCGCACGTCGACGCCGTCTGCCTCAAACCCATCTCAGTCGCGTTAGGCTTCGTGTGCATCTGTGGGGCAGTGTGTTTGAGTGTGAGGGAAGTGTTATGACCACAATAAACCCCGTTGAATGATTTAATATTCCTGTCCATTAATAAGATGAAAGGCATCGAGGGTGGGGGGGGGGGGGGGTAGACGTGTCTGTGGATCCACAGATGTCTGTCTGATGTCTGTCTGTCTGATGTCTGTCTGTCTGATGTCTGTCTGTCTGATGTCTGTCTGTCTGTCTGTCTGATGTCTGTCTGTCTGATGTCTGTCTGTCTGTCTGTCTGATGTCTGTCTGTCTGATGTCTGTCTGTCTGTCTGATGTCTGTCTGTCTGATGTCTGTCTGTCTGTCTGATGTCTGTCTGTCTGATGTCTGTCTGTCTGTCTGATGTCTGTCTGTCTGATGTCTGTCTGTCTGTCTGATGTCTGTCTGTCTGTCTGTCTGATGTCTGTCTGTCTGATGTCTGTCTGGCCCAGGGAGTGTCTGGACCTCTCTGTCGGCTGTCTGCTGGGCTGGGGGAGGGCTGTGGGATCTCACGTCACTTGGTGGAGGGTTTGCTGGACTGGGCTTTTATTTTGATACGGGGGGAGGGAGGGGGGGGGGGGGGAGGGGGGGGGGGGGGGGGGAGGGGGGGGAGGGGGAGGGGGGGGGAAAAAAAAACGTGCGTCGCTCTCGGAGTCGGGAGGTATGCGGTGTGTCAGGAGGTCACATACAATCCGGTGTGAGGCAGGAACTGGGAAGCCATCCAACAATGTGGCTGTTTGCGCAGAGGCGCGTCTGCTGGTACAGCGCGCGTCACCGCCAGGATCAGGGGATAAAAGGCTCAGCCCTCCAGCACAGCCCCAGCAGCTGCACTCACTACAGCCACAGCACAGACTCCGACCGAACACTCTTCGCCCCTCTCCACTTTTTAACCGAGAGATCCGCTTCGATCGCACTGAGTTTCAGTCAGAAGACGACTCGAGAAAACTTCACCGCAGCAAAGATGTTTGCTGGACCGGGAGGCCTGAAGTCTGCACTTTTGCTGCTTCTGGGACTGACTTGTCTGGTGAGTGAGTGTGAGTGTGAGTGAGAGAGAGAGAGGGAGAGTGAGGGAGAGTGAGGGAGTGAGTAAGAGAGTGAGTGAGTGAGTAAGAGAGTGAGTGAGTAAGAGAGTGAGTGAGTGAGTAAGAGAGTGAGTGAGTGAGTAAGAGAGTGAGTGAGTGAGTAAGAGAGTGAGTGAGTGAGTAAGAGAGTGAGTGAGTGAGTAAGAGAGTGAGTGAGTAAGAGAGTGAGTGAGTAAGAGAGTGAGTGAGTGAGTAAGAGAGAGAGTGAGTGAGTGAGTAAGAGAGAGAATGAGTGAGTGAGTGAGTGAGTAAGAGAGTGAGTGAGTGAGTGAGTAAGAGAGTAAGAGAGTGAGTGAGTGAGTAAGAGAGTGAGTGAGTGAGTAAGTGAGTAAGAGAGTGAGTGAGTAAGAGTGAGTGAGTAAGAGAGTGAGTGAGTGAGTGAGTAAGAGAGTGAGTGAGTAAGAGAGTGAGTGAGTAAGAGAGTGAGTGTGAGAAAGAGAATGAGTGTGAGAAAGAGAATGAGTGTGAGAAAGAGAGAGTGAGTGAGGTAGTGAGTGAGTGAGTGACAGAGAGGGTGAGTGAGTGAGAGTGAGAGGTAGTGAGTGAGCAATGTCCAGGCACAGGGTTTGAGCTGTGATGTGAGTGCTGTGAGGAGAGGAACAGAGGGGTTCAGGTTCTTGTTGGGGCGGTTTATATTAATGTGTGTAACAAGTCCAGGAATCGAACGGAATAGAATTGAGTTTTAAAAGAAAAAACACGAATCCCAATGGCAAAATGGGTCGTGGAATTCCTCGTCGACCTTTTTTATTTTAATAATTCATAAAAAATCAAAGAAAAATCAAATAAAAATCAAATTTAAAAAAAGCATGACTTTTAGATTTGTGTTCGTTGTTTTTTTTTATTGTTTTGTTTTACTTTGCGTGAGGTTTTGTTGTTGGAGGTGATTTATTGCCCGGTTCGGGTTGAATGCTGATGTGATGTGTGATGTGCTTTTTGCAGGTCAGCACTGAGGATTGCGGTGGTCAGTGTCGCTGCCCTGAGCAGCCCCCGCTCTGTGCCCCCGGGGTGTCTCTGCTCACCGATGCCTGCGGCTGCTGCAAGGTCTGCGCCAGACAGCTGGGAGAGGTGTGCAGCCGCCTCCAGACCTGCGACCCCCACAAAGATCTGTTCTGCGACTTCGGATCCTCCCAACACAGCACCGTGGGGGTCTGTGCAGGTAAGCGACTTGTCAGATCTCTTCCCCCCCCCCCCCAAACCAAGTCTGCCATTCGCTCTGGCTGATATGCAGAGCAATGCACCTCGCCTCCCTCCTTCCCCTACACCCCCACCCCCCTCCACACACACACACACACACACACACACACACACACGAGATGCCAAAGTTAAAACACATCGTCTGTTAAGCATAAGTACATTTTACTGAGCAAATGTACGAGAGAGCCCCCAACTTGGGCAAACTTCATTCCTCAATTTCTCTCCTGTTTTATGAAGCGATTTACAGAAGCAATACCTTGCATCCTAACAAACTCCCCTGAATCCTTTCTAAACTGACCCATGATTCAGTAACATGAGTTAATAGCACTTTGATGATAATATGACAACCTGTCAAGCCATTAATGTTACTGTGTAGTCAGCCCGAGGTGTTTGTCAATAGGAATATCTTATTTGCTTAGCCTCTTTTTTAACCGACTGTTTTAACGTTGTTAGTAACAAATTGTTTCTGTTGTTTTGCAGCAAAAGAAAGCGCCCCTTGTGTGTTTGATGGAGTAGTGTACAAGAACGGCGAGAGTTTTCAGAGTGGCTGCAAGTACAGCTGCACCTGTGTGGATGGCTCCATCGGCTGTGTCCCGGTGTGTGGTGTGCACATCCGCCTGCCCAGCTCCGACTGCCCATTCCCCAAGAAAGTCAAAGTGCCCGGCAAGTGCTGTGAGGAGTGGGTCTGTGAACAGCCCAAATTCCACACCATGGTCGGACCTGCTATGGCAGGTAAGCATTTGAGTTCTCACATTTTTCCTGAAGTAACACCTGTAGATAGTCTCAGTATTAGCCCACTAGATATTTGCTATTAGTATTAGCCCACTAGATATCCACTTGATGAAATGGTAACATTGCAATCTAAAGCCAAGTCACTGTAATCCATTTTGCATGTCACTTGTAGACTTCAATAATATGTTCACAAACAAGTAGCATGTTTACAAAGGATTCTCTGCATTTGTTAAAGTACGATACCAGTAGTAGCCAACATAACTACAATTACATTGTACAAATAGAGAGCAACACATTATCTTTATTTGAACTAAATAATTGGTATTCTCCTATAATTATTAGATCTTTGTTAAATGTTTGCCCCAAATATTTGATTAAATTAAAGTTTTCCCCTCCCCCACCCCCTTTTTTTAATCACAGCTTACAGAGAAGAAGCCACATATGGCCCTGATCCCTCCATGTTCCGAGCTAACTGCCTTGTTCAGACCACTGAATGGAGTGCCTGCTCTAAGACCTGTGGTATGGGCATCTCCACCAGGGTAACCAACGACAACAGGGAATGCAGACTGGAGAAGCAGAGCAGACTCTGCATGGTTAGACCCTGCCAATCAGACATGAAAGAGACCATCAAGGTAAGAATCTCTCGCCCCAACTCAAGTGACTTAAAAAAATCGCACAAAGATTTGTTTTGATCGAATTTTTTTTATGCTTTCTCTGGAAGCTTTGGAGTGTTTTGTCTATAATACAATTTTTTTGTTGTTTTCCTTCTTCCCTCAACAGAAAGGCAAGAAGTGTATCCGCACTCCCAAGGTCTCCAAGCCCACCAAGTTTGAATTGTCTGGCTGTGTGAGCGTTAAGTCTTACAGAGCCAAATTCTGTGGTGTTTGCACCGATGGCAGATGCTGCACTCCTCACAGAACGACCACCCTCTCGGTCGAGTTCAAATGTCCCGATGGCGAGTTCATGAAGAAGAAGATGATGTTCATCAAGACCTGCGCCTGCCACTATAACTGCCCCATGGACAACGATGTCTTCCAGTCCTTGTATTACAGGAAGATGCTGGGTGACATGGCATAAACCATGTAATCCATCTAAGACAGATTTTCCATCTCAGAAGCAGAATCACTGTATAGCACAAAAGAAAGTATGTAAAAGTATTGACGTTGACCTGTTGGTTCAAAGAGACGTGGGAGGGAAGTAATTTGCGAGGTTTGTAAAAGGATTCACGAAAATTGAATCCTGCAGGTGTCTATATGTTTTTCATATAAACACACTGTGGGCTCTGCTCTGACACTGGACTCACTAATGAGTTCCTTGAAATCAGACAGGACCTGACAGACGATATCTGTGTCTGAGCAGAGTCATTCTAGAGGGTTATTTTTGGTCATATCCAGGTACCCGCAAATTCACAACTCCCTCCCTATTATGAGCAACCAGAGAATGGGAACATGTCATAGCACTCAGCCTAGATTTTAAAACTACATTAATTATACACTGATATCTATAATATCATTGTACATAATGTATATACCTGTACAGTTGTCTAAGTTAATTTAAATGTACGTGCCTCTTGTTGTTTATTGCTTGGGTAATCTAGTTTAGACTATTGACAAAAGCAGCTGTTTTCATTTTTTTGAACAGTATTGTAACATTTGAGAAGTGTGACCAAAAGTTACATGTTTGCACTTTTCTAGTAATAAAATATATTTTTGATACACACTTGCATTCACTTATTTGAAGAGTCCTATACAAGCAGAGCTAAAATGCAAACAGAGCTAACAAGACAAAGACAACAATAACAAGAACAAATGTAAAAACTTAGTGTGATTTGTATAAAGATTACATTTCTCTCATGGTTTCTAAATACATGATACAAAAATATAAGACAACATTTATCAGTTTACTAATCCACAAGATGTAAATTTTAGAGACTATATATTTTGTTTGTTACTGGTACATCAAATACTCAAACAATAAAACATCATCCACTGCATTTGGAAAAGTCATGAGCAGTACAATGAAAAGTAAAAATAAGTGACTGCAAACACTACATTACACTTTAAATTCTATGAAGTGCTCCGAACATGAGAAGTTAGATGTAAGGATTGTTGTTATCACTGATTTGCTTCTTTAGTCCTTCACGCTTTCAAGGTCAATAAAATGAGTAAAACCAAAACTAATAATAATAATAATCCTTGAATTTAATAAAGCAGATTTCACATCAGGTGAATGTCTCAAAAGAAATTGCTGTAAAATGCAGTTACTTAATGTTTTAGGCAAACCTAGTAACCAATTTGCCCACAGTAATGTCCTACAATCAGCTATGGGGTGAATGATCAATTTTATCTGAGGAATTATTGGCCAGGACACTGGGGGTAACTTCCTTCTTTTTTCAATTACTGTCGTGGGATCTTTAATATCCACTTGAACAGCATTGTTACCATTCTAATAGTACGCACTCTGAAGTCCCTGGGTCATTAATGTTTTACCAACATAGAAAATTGCTAACTGAACACAAATGAGAGCTCATTCTCTTCTTAAGTGTTTTAGTTCCATGATTTTTTTGCACATTAGTTTGAAATATAAACCAGGAGATAATGATAAACTTACCTAACGTAGGAATGCCTGTGTCCATGCAGTGAGAAGTGCTGGAATAACAATGAACTGCATCACATGTTACCCTAAACCTAGACCCTGTCAAGAAATTTTAAATTGATAAACTGAGACTATGAATACAGGTTGGAAGGTCCAACCAATATGGGTAGTCATAACTTTAATTATATACTGGTAAATATCATTTGTAAATATCTGACAAAACGCAAAATACTGCAGATCCTGGAAATCTGAAAACATAAACAGAAGTGGCTGGGAACACTCAGCAGGTCACGCAGCATCTACGGAGAAAGGAAAGTTTTGAGCTCAGTGGCGTTCGCAGTAATCCAGGACACTTTTGATGACAGATCAACTTTTCACAGGACTTGGAGGGGCAGACCAGCGGTTCTTTCTACTCAGCTCCTGGGAAGCTGCTCTCAATGGCAAGCGATGGAATTTTGTCTGATTAAACTCCGGCAGGATCCCAATACAAAAAACACCGAATGGAAAAATACCGCAGTCAGACTAAAGTAAACATTAATAAGAGTATATACACATCACGTGATGAATTATTTTGATTTGATTTAGCTCAGCCACAGGATAAGACTGGCATAACTCATTTGCGACTACATCAGTACTGAAGGTTAAATAATCCCAATGTAATGATTTCATATTTATTGAGCGATGAATACAGTTCAGTACCAGAAAATAAAATTGTGATATTCAGCATGTATTGCAATGCTAATGTTGGGAAGCTATACATACTGCCCCACTGTTACTTTGACAGTGTTAAGAGAGCTATTATCGTCACACTCTTTAACTGAACTCCTTCATTCTACTGGGGTATGTGGAATATGTGAATGATGTTCAAAGGATACTCGTAGTTCTACAGTAAGATACTCAAGTCATCATTACTCATTTGTGACCATTGCCAGTATGTGCCAGAGACCCATCCAAACCTGAAGATTTTCACAGACCTGGTAGCTGTTTGTGTGCACAGTAAACAGCCTCTTTAGGATTTTTCACGGTTTACTTACTCAGAATGAGTTAAGTCGGCATTTCCTGAATAAGTTCAGAAAGGTCATTTTCAGCAGTCAAGAATGGCCTCTAGTATGTGGCAATCTGAGATGCCAGCACCCATCCAGGGCTTTTCAGCTTTGGATGCTGCCATAATTCAAAAGTACAGGGGAGGGAGTATTTCAAAACATATTTTAGTGACTTTCCATAAATAGGGAATCAAATATGTTTATATGCCGCCCATATACTCACTCGCTCTAAACTCCGTACCCCCATCACACCAGTCCTCACCAGGCTCCACTGGTTCCTCATCATCACTACCTATTCAAGATCCTCACATTTGTTTACAAATCCCTTCATGGCTAGGTACCTCCCTTCCTTTCCAACCTGCTCCACCACCCACCGCCTCCGCTCGGCTGGCCCCGGCCTCCTGCTTTTCCCTTGTCCCCTCTGCTCCATCATAGGCACCCGTGCTTTCAGACACTACTCCAGAAACTTAAGAAATCTCTCCCTCCATCCCTCCACTTTGCCCTCCTTCCTCATTTTCAGGTCATCCTTGAAGACCTTCCTCTTTGACTGTGCTTTCAATCACCTCCCACCACCAATTGGTTCGGCATAAGCCTCCGCTAATGTTAAGTGCTCCGAGATTCTGCCCTGTGTAAAGACTGCAAGTCATTGTTGTTTAGGAATACTGCATTGTTTAATTTATTTGTACAATCTATCAGTACAGCTTTCCTTCAAGTTATGCACCATTTTTGGATCTCTCGATAAACCCTCCAAGTTGCTGAGAGAGTATTGATGCTTACCACCATGGTTCATTCATTATTTAACTGTCACATTGCTGCTATCTGCACTAACCCTGTGTAAGTGTTATCCTATCGCTGAGTGCATAAGCATTATCTGGACCTGCACATTTCTAACAATCTGCTACTGAGTCATTTTTACAGTGGGTTGTGGACAGCTTTAGTCACAGGCATTTTGCTCCTCATGCTACTCGATTGGTTCATTAGAAGCACTAACTGCATATTATTGCAGACCCGTTGTTATTAATTGCTGTCATTTTGTTAATCCCAAATAAAATCTCATTTAAAAAAAAGGCATTTAGCAATGCTGAGAGCTCATGTGACTGTTACAGTACAATACAATTTATATTTATGTGGTGTCTTTTATATTGGAAGCATGTCTCAAAGTACTTAACACTACTCACTGGGCATGTGAGCTAGGGGATGGGGGGCTGAAATGAGTGAGGAGAAGAAAGATGGCCAAAAGCGTGGTGAGTACATCTTGAGACAGTCTTTGAATGCGTTGAGAAAGTGGACGAGTCAGAGGGATTCTGCGATGAAGTTCCAGATAGCGTGGGCAGAATGGTTGAAAGTTCACCCGCTGGTAGCTAGGACATGGGATATGAAGTAATAATAATCCTTGCATTTGATATAAGGTGAGTGTTTGCTGAGCTAAGGGTATAGCCTGGTTGGTAGGGATCTAGTGAGGATGGGGGAGATAAGCTTGCAGAGCCTGGTGCAGAGAGGACACAGGGTATTAGTGTAATCAAGCTTGAATGTTAGCATTTCTTTCAAAATGTTATTAAACGGGCTTTCCTCCCATTGTTAATGAAAATGGAAAGAGGAATGTTGAGTTCCACAAGCCATACAACTGAGATATCATGAATTCAAAACTGAAAGAATTTCTCCATTGAAACGCACAAATCTCAATGAAGCCGTTTCTGTTTCCATGAGCTTTCACCTCTGAGTCAGAAGGTTGTGGGTTCAAGCCTCATGTCAGGACTTTGAATCCTTATAGCCTAGGTCTAAACTGACACTCTAATGCAGTGCTGGGGTGTGCTTCATTGTTGGATGTGTTGTTCTCCAGATGAGACCTTAAACTGATAACCCATGGCACTATTTCAAAAGAGAAGGGAATTTTTCCTTGTGTTCTGGCCAAGAATTCCCCAAGTAAAATTGGTCATTCTCTTCATAGCTGGTTGTGGGACAGTATGGTGTGCAAATTGGCTGCCACATTTGCCCACAAAATGTACAGTCAATTCACTTTACAGTATATTCTGTGAAGCTCTTCGAGAAGTCTCAACAAAGTGATAAGGCACAATATGAAATGCAAGAATTATTACCATTATTAACGTGCTAAGGTGCTATATCAAATGTAAGGATTATTATTATTATAATCCAATATTCCAAAAAAACACGATGAGCCCAAAGACATTTCCTGCTCATATTTAGGCAGGATTTAATTTAAGGTTTAACGCAGAATAAAATGGTAATAAAGGAAGTAAAGAATATGTGACACAATTCAAAATGAAATGCAAGAAAAAAATGTTCTGTGTATCTGGAATAATACAGCAAGGGGTGGAAAAATAAGTAGTGAAAAAAAGTTTCCAGACATTTGAGACCAAGTTAGAAATGTGAGATTTAGTCACATCCAGCTGAAAGCTGTAAAGATAACAAATAAAACATCATCTTCTCGGTTACAAGTCCCAGAGATTGTAAATTTTTCCAGTGTTCTGAAAGACTAAAGTATATGTCTTTATACCAAATTTTGAAGAAGGTATCAGCATCGGGACACAAACAGTGAGCTAAGTGGCAAATATTTTAGGTACTAAAACTGAATTATTTAACTCTTTAAGTACAATGTATCATTGAAACTAATGTGATTACCAATTCATGTTCTGCTAGGGCAAGACAACAACAACAACAACAACAACTTGCAATTATATAGCGCCCTCCACGCAGGGTAGTGTCTCAGAGCACTTAACAGTGGCGGAGACTGACTCCAAGCCAGTGTGGGGTGGGTGAAGGTAGCCGAAACTGAATGTTTTCAGGCGGGATTTGAAAAAGTAGAGAGAGGGGGCAAGGCAGAGGGATTGAGAGAGAGTGTTCCAGAGTTTGGGGGCATAGTAGCTGAAAGTGCGATCTCCGATGGTGGGGCGGAGGGTGTGAGGGACGAGCAGGAGGCCGGTGGAGTGGAGGCGCTGGGTGGTGAATCGGGGAGTGAGGAGGTTGGAGAGGTAGAGAAGGGCCAGAGAGTGAAGGGATTTGAACACAAGTGTGAGGATCTTGTGTGAAGTGTGAAGACGTGGAACATTATAAACAAACCAA